GTCATAATTGATCTAAGAATTTCTTGGTAGTTGGGTTTTTTCGGGCGCGCTATACACAACGCCCGGGAGACTTCTTTACGAGGGAGGGGGACGCTCCTGCTAATATTCTTCCCAGCGACAGAACGTGCCTCGACAGCAATCCTCTCCTAATTCAAATGGGAGCATTCACAACGGCGATAAATTTAGTGATTCGCTCGGCTGAAAGTGGGGTTGCGGAAACCAAGGTAGACAGTTTGAGCAGTATCACTGGTTACAACTCTACAGTAAGGGACAACCTCTAGTTGTCTTTAAAGGCTCTTTGCACAAAAAAAAATAGTGTTTGGTAGAGTGCTGAGTTGTAGTGTAAAAGATCTGACCCTGATCTGATCGGTACTCGAACTGCATCACCCAATTGACATATTCAACTATTCGAACCACACCTCGTTAGCCTGTCCATGGTTGGGTCTCGGCTAGGGTCAGGAATTTTGCCTACAAACTCTTGTGATGAATTTCGCTCGGACTGCGGCGAAAAGCAACAGTTATTATTACAAAACAAATTAATCGGTTTTGTGGAGACCCATGTATAGGGCGCACATTTGCACCGAGTGCCGCTAGTGTTTTCTCCTGCGATTCGGCGTATTTTTTGTCCTTCTCTATGTTAATGACTCGAGTCGAATAAGGTTGAGTTGAATCATTTGGTAGATGGAGGCGTGGGAAAAGACTAGAAAAGCGGCTGTGGCTCTTTACGGCTGTTTTGTCTGGAAGTTTCCCGTGCATTGTCGCGTGCATCCTTATAAACGCACTTTATACCCAGAAAATAGCTATTATGTATAGGTGGCAGGATAACTGACTATCTCTTGAAAAGAAATTGATGCAGCTCAACTTACGTAGCCTTGAACCTTTTGTCTCCCTTGCTATGAGCAGTACTTGTAGGAATAGCTTAGCACACGTGAAGTAGCCGAAAGTGACACTATTTGTTCCCCTTCACGAAATCTGTGCGAACAAACAGCATTACATATTACCCTAATCGACTTTCATGATGCCCTTTTACCACGACGAACATTTCGCTACGTCGTTTTGAATGCTAAAATACCTAGAAATAAAGTTAAAGTATGTCCATTCGTGACTGTGAGCGTGCGGCTGCGTCATGAATTTACAGTATCTAATGCGTTTAGTTTCTAATAAACATGACAAAGGTAACTTTTTCTGAAATCCTTGTTTTGAATGTGATTTTTTTGAAGCTTACGCTCTTGCTGTACTTGCTAAATTTGAGTAAATTCAGGTGTGAGTACTCCTGGTCGGCACCGAACATTCAGTGGAAATCCACAGAGCATCTCCAACCCTGAAGATGGGTGTCCTGTTCAGGTACTGAATTGATTCTGTCACGTTGCTCACATGATCTTTGACTTATGAACCCATTCAAATGTCGCCTTATCAGTTCAGCTTGCACGGCATTGATAGGTTATCGGCTTTTAGGTAAAAATAGCGAAAAGTGATGATGATATGGAAGGCGGCATGGCGCCGACAGTTCAATTCAGAGAAACCAATGAGTATCCAGTTGTGTTCAAATGGCATTGCTCGGCTACTAGGTTTGTGTTTCAGTATCTCAGCTCGCTTGTTCGACCTTCTGGAGTGTTCTTCACTCTCATTCTGTCTCTCCCTGTGTTGATTACTAGATCCCCACATGATTTACCTTTGAAGCTCTCTCTCTCATCCTACTATGTTTCCGCCTCCATTTTTACTCTCTTACCTGGATGGCGATTAGAAGGCAAACCTCGCACTAGTCCCGTGCTCATCCTTAACTATTAGTCTGCAACAGTAATCAATCAATGAACAAATTGGTTGAATAAGTTGAGTATTAGCTGCGCCAAGAACTTCACCAGTAAACTTTTTGAGCGTTCATTGTCTTGTGTTTGCATTCACGTTGAGAGTTTACTAAATTTATCCAAAACTGAACGCAGTGTGCTCGCTTTTAACCCCACATAAGATTGTTAAGACACCTTCATTGATAGGCGTTCATGCGAAATGACCTTCTTCAGAGCCTGAAGGATAGAGAGCAAATTAATGACCACCTGGCAAGCCGTCCTCTGCTTCCTGCTGAAGTCCGAGATCAGTGCAGATCGTCACATAATCCCTAAGGGCATTATATTATTTGATCTTCGAAAAGCGGCCAAGGGACTGTTCGGCTTGATCCTGATTCAGGACAGAGCACTTCCTGCCCTTGAGGGAAATTTCTGCATAATATGAGCTACATTCCCCAAATTTCCTCCTCTGGTGGAGTCCTCTTCTCATCCCCCAACCTACTTACTATCCATTCTTGTACTTACTTTGCACAATTTTCCCAATTTTCTGTGTACCACTTCCCGGACATTTTTCGAAAGTTATTCCTGTCTTTTTCGAAGTTACTTCTGTCTTCCCCCATAAACTACCTTGAAGGGGGGGGGAGGGTAGGGTAGGGACAGGGGAGTTTCTGCGCAGTGGAAAAGGAAAACCGAGAAAACTTATCGACCGAAAACATCTCTTTCAGAAAAAGTACGAGATTCCCTTCCCCAGCGACCAGGTACGGACCCATCGCTGGGGATCCCCTACGCACGAAGGGTTACTCTTGGGGAAGGCCCTCGATAAGGATGAGGAGTTTGCTCAAACTGTTAAGTGAGTGTGAGTAAGTGTGAGGAGTGAGAAGTTACACCCTCTCCTTCCCCACACCCCCCCCCCCAACTATCTCGTCCATCTGTCGTGAAATCTAATGTGAAAGGATCTTTCCAGCCAGCCACGTACGGTCTTCATATGTGGATCATGGGATGGTTGGCGACAGAAGATCCCTCTCGTCAAGTCAGCGAACGATTTCAGCACGATCCTTGAACTGACTCCAGGTACACTTGTTTTCATCTCCACTTGCTTTGGTAGAATCAGAAAATACGAAGGTTTCCGAATCTGGAGAACTAGTTTCCGAAAAGTATTTATCTGATTCTGCCTACGTGAACGTTTCGCTTGCTCATCAACTATTGGGCTGGGAGCGTTATGTAAAGTTCTTTCAAAATGCAGCGGTAACTTTTCAGCGTTTTGCTCAGAACAAAGATTGTTGAGTAATCTTTATGTAAGGAATCATTGTCCTCTGCTGTATACGAAGAATCCTGGCGGTTTAGTTCCAATCGGATTGTAAAGTATTTATGCAAATATGCGGCTGCCGCGCTGCCTTCGCGATATTGATCGAAAGGGAGAGACTTTGTATAGAACTGTTAAATTGATCAGCAGACTTCCTTGCTTAGAGCTACATCTTCAATATTTTCAACATAAAGTGCAAGATCATTTTCTGGTAATTAAAGGTGTCAATATTGATGAAGATGATGATAATATTGGCATCATGATAAAACAATTTGAGAGCAAGTGTTAAGGTCATCATGAGTACAAGTTTATGGTGGACAACAAATGGGTGGTGGATGATAATCAGCCGAAGACAAACAACAATCTTGGAGGAGAGAATAATGTGATGTCTATCGATCAGGATGATTTCGAAGTCAGATTTATCCTTATTCATGATTTCAAATGTTTCAAGATATATTACTAGGTCTCAAACCAGGTCCAAGTTCCAAGATATAATAATTGAATTTCATTGGAAAACACTAACAACATTAAGGAGAAAAATCAGAAGGCAGTGGCTAAACATGGCCAACGGAGCCACTTGAAGAGCTTTGTACGACATGAAGGAAAGAAAAAAACCCACGAAAACGTTCAAGCTTTTGCGAAACGAAAACAAGCAAAAAGATTCGCCTACTGGTGGCAGAATGGTCCTCAGTTGGTTGAACAGCAGATGTGAGAGATCAGATTGGGGAGGATACTCGTAAAGTTCGAAACCTTCATAGGGGAGTATAACTCAACTACTGAGGTCCAGAGAATTGTCTGATACTACATCTACTTCGCCGATTTATCAGCTTTTCAGAAATTTTTGCCTCTGGAGATCGCATCGGTAGTAGAAAGTGATCATAAAGAAAGCGAGTTGTATTTTATGTCTCACTGCTTAGGTGTTCGATGCGCTTGACAAGGATCTGGCTTCGTCAAATGCTGGAGAAGCTATGAGAGGAGCGCCGAACCATCAGCCATCTCACGACACTCCAAATGACAGGTGAACTCATTAAATTAGTTTCAGTGGACGAATGGCTAATTGATAATTTGCTGTGCTGCATTTGGTGGGTGACGGTAGATTTTATAGTTGTTGATCCTCATTCCTTTTGTTCTACTTCTTCTGCGTTTGGATTTTGTCGCTTTCTTGGCTGTAAAACCACACCATATGAGTGAGGCTTCTGTATAGAGCATTATTTGTTCAAGGGAGCTCGAGAAACTTCGTACGTTCTCACAAGATATTCCGGATCGCGCGGAATTCGCGAAGGCTCACAATCCACCTGCGCTTCCGCCTCATCTTCTTCAGGTGGTTCTTTATTACAATTTCTTTGGTTTATTGTGGCACTGTTCTCATTGTGACTCAGCTATTTTCACTTCTCTTCAGGAATCTGGAAAGTAGCGCATTCCATTACAGGTCATCCTCAACAAAGACACACCCGTGCAGTGTGATCCCAATGTGCTACCAGAACCAAATCACGTGATGCTAAATCATCTCTATGCTCTTTCAATCAAAGATG